GGGAGTTACAGATAACCATTTCAAAGATTTCACAAGGCGATACCCATAAAACAGGAACATGAACTTTGAGCATCCAGGGTTGGCAGTGAGGAGATATACCAGCTATGGGGAAGGGAACAGACATGTATTGGTACAGTGTAATTGAGACCTGGTTAATAATGAGGAAGCGTGGAGTATTTTGTTCGTGTCAATCTCCTGTGACAGAGACAGCAGCCAGACGATAGCTCAGCAAACTGAGGCTAGGTTAGGTCATGGCTGACCTTGATAGCTGGGCCGTGACCTTGAGGTATGAACCAAACAACTACTCAATCTCTACGACTGGTCTGTTTCTACCCACACACTTATCACAATCATGTGTCTACTGGAAGATTGTCTACGTTACTGATCTAACAAACCCATGTACTTGTTTTTGGCATAAACCCATGTACTGTACGTGTTATATCCAGTGAGTCAGTAAAAAAAGTCCCATCTTTGATAATGATTTTCCATGCAGAACATGCTGGTGGTCAACAACAGTGATGTTCATAGCTGTTACAAACATAAACAGCAACTGCTGTGAACTATCAAGGCTGAGGTCTCCATGGATTCTGCCACCATATCTGAGGCGAAGAGAAAAGACACAGCTGGACAAACCCTTGGACCATCAGCAGGCTATTTTTCCATTTCCCTGTTAGCTTTGGGACGTGCAACAGTCTTGTACTGCAAACATGTAGCTGCAGCCGTGATATATTCACTTGTCAAATATTTAGGGTAACCCACGGGGGCATATGCCTGCAGGAGAAATACTCCTGAACCGACACTGTTAGTACTCAACAACCACCGCATGCTTCCTGCGATCATCCATTATCCTAAAACCGAGTAGCCTGGCTCAACATTTTCTTAACCACGGTGTGCAGGACGCTCTTTCTTTAAAGCTCTTTGTAGATCAATGTAGATCTAAAGCCCAACACACAGCTTCAAACAGCAGTTTGTTTCTTGCTGATCGGTCCCTTTGTGATATATTTAGTGTACACATACACATAGCCGTGTTGTCCTTCAGAAGCTTTTTTACTCGCTTGGATTAAACTCATGATGTACTGAATCACCTGTGGGAAAATCATCATTATGGGGACTGAGTATGGAAGAGCTCAGATGGATCAATTTGGACATTGACTATGCACACACACATGTACCATGCACAATGCAAAAATCTCTCACTGTCCGACAAAATATACCAACATATTGGTCCCACATCGAAGAAACGTTCCATAGTAAAGAGCTAATTGCTCATGCCATGTAGACGAGTGAGATGGAAATTATTGACATTATCTGCTTTTATGAGTAGAGACTCCTAATGCTAAACTGTGTTCGATCAAACTAAAAGACCTTCTGACATCCTCTCCATAAAGGCTGAAGTAATTGTGGGGAATTTTATCATATATACATGAGAGCAGCAAAAGGACCGGAAACCCATGAAAGGTTTAAATGAACAGAGAACAAGTATTGATGAAAGCCAACATACCAATGCTTTCTCCAAAATTTATCCTTAACTTGTAACTGTCGAACAGTATCGGTAAGACTGATCAGTGAAGGGTGAAAATTATTCCAAATAGAATTTGAGAAAGATAAACGGCATGACTGCCAAAAATATACCGTCCTGCAGACTTGACAAACAGAGCTATATTTAACATGTCTCATGCCATCTCATCACAACAATGTTACGGCACATTGCACATACGTACAGTATATACATCCCCTTCTGGGGAACTTTTCTTCCCAACACTGAGGCATGAAAGAAAATTCTTGGCTGCATCATTCCCTTTACCCTTACTTCTGGGAAATCAATGAATGAATAGTAATCTCATGGTCATGGGAGTTCTACCTTGGTGCATGCAATAAATCATTTCTTCATGTTCCTATAGGTAAAATCATGCAAGAACCTCTGTTCCTATGTAAATCCAAGGTCCTATACTTCATGAAATATTCACTAAGATATATCGCAGGACGTAAAGGCAAGTATAGCGCCAGAAAAGAGTTAAATTTAGGCCTCTGTTTTTTGTATGTCATTTCCAGGGTTTGGGTGTGTGACCGACGACAGGAAATGAATCATAATGATGTTTCAGCAAAGCACCTTTAGAGCTTCCTATCAGTTTTCGCAACCCCTTCAATACTGGGCAAGGCAGGGAATGTGACTACAGAAGATAAACACTCATGTAGTGTCAACATGCATACTTCCAGGAATTTCGAAAAAGCAGAACATGGCAATACACTGAACGCACAGAGAACAGAGAAGACATTTGCAGTTCTCTCTCCAGCTGTGCCTTTATGTGAATCAGGCTTCCTTAGCAGTGCGTTGTGCACTGGCACTGACCTGATTTACCTCAGTGTTTCAATCAAGCAAAGATCCCACCAAGGCAGGTTTCCGTGCTCCACCCTGACTGGGAATGCAAAGAAACAAATAAATCAATTAATTCCACCAAGCAGCCATTGGGGTACGCCCAAGAGGAAAATCTAAAAGACACGATAGTCTACCTGTATAATATCACTATTAATTTAAGGTAAGTTAACCATCTACTGTTAAACAGGAGCATGTACCATGGGGTCTTCTTGCACAAAATACAACACAATTCACATGGCAACCGAATATGTGTTGACAGTAAGCCTAATTTGTGTTGTCAAAGTGCATTGGCTTTTCCCAGCATAGCAGTGGAATGCTATAGAAGCAGGCATTTTGTCTGTGACAAATAACCACAACCCTTGGAGAAGAAAGCTGTCAATTCTATGCTAATTAGGTAAAACTTGAAAGACTGCCAAATTACATGTGGACAAAAGGGATGGTAGCAGTGGGCCTAAGGGCAACCTTTTGATGCCAAAACGACTGTGCTTTCTGGCTATCATTTCGACAAGAGACACTTTTGTCTTAGCCTAAACACGAAACTCTTTTTGTTGCCATACATGACATGTGTGTGAGGATAAAACTGTCCTTACACCAATCAAAGGAAGGAGCATGCCTTGATTATTGACACACGACAGCACGTAAGCCATTGGCAGACCTGACCTTTGAAACCCCTTTCTACACAGTACAAGGCTTTGGCTTTTACGTCTGCTTGAAGTGCTACGCACTCGCCGTACCCACTTGTGCGAAAGCCACGGCTCATTTACACAGTTCTTTTTACTAGATACAGAATTAGAAGCTCACATGTTCAAACACGTTTTCAGTACATTGTCATTTTTACCCCTTGTGTCACCATATTTCACGGTAACAATACATGAGATCTATAGTCACATGGACCTAACCCTCCCTTGGTGAACAGGATGCATGCTATAGTATATATATGCTACATATCACTACATACAGAACACCAGGCTTATGATTTCATACCGTATGGCATAACAATGGTCTTGCACAAATGTTTATGAATCCTGCTTTCACATTCAAGGGAAGTAACAAGTATGGTAACACGGGAAGTCATTCTGAAACAAGCTGTTACGTGACCTGTACGTGACCATGCAAAACTGCAAGGAAGTATTATGCCAAAAATACTGGGTTTGAGACAACATGGCTAAAATCATGTTCATGTATTCAGGACTCAAAGGTTTTCATAAAGAAATGTTTCTTCTTTGTGGGGAATTTTTCCAAGAGTCATGTCTGCAAGACTTGGGAATGCTGGACAAAATTAATGAAACCTTCAAGCCTAATGCCATTTTGCCATTGACATGCATCATCATGTTGTTAAAATCAATGTCCTAGCACTGACCTAAAAAAAATTACCTTTGGGATCTAAATGCCTTTCTCACTTTATATCTTTAAGTCCCAACAGACCATACAGTACAACACACTACAGGAAGTAACCATGGCTTGAAGGTGTTTATGACATTGGATTCCAAAATGAGATTGCCGAAGGAAATAATTTGAGCCTGCAAGATCTAAAGGCCTATCTTTAGTTCAAAGGGATGGTTTTGTATATGTTTTTCATGATTGATAAAAGACATCCTGTAAGTATTAAAATACACTAACCAGCAACAACAAAACTGAAAAGAAAATTGAGTTGGAATCACACTGAAAATAACATGGATTAATACTCCTAATACAGAAATGCCAGAAATTCACAAACCTGTTCTGGAAAAGTAAGGCTCAATGCAGCTCATTAATTATACTCAACAAGATCTAAAGCGAACGTGCAGAGGAAATTTAACGATAGAGTGGGAGTGCGGCTGGGCAGAAACGTTTGACGTTTGCACTGGTCTAACCTTCCGTGATATTCCGATGACGTCTGAAGTGGCCAAAGACCGTGCAGTGTCTGTTACTGTTCAACTGCGTGAAAAACTCATGCAAGACGGCGGGGTCACGGTGGACACACGGTCTTTTCCCCAGTGTGCTAAAACAGCCGAAGACCGCTGTTGGATTCTACCTTGGAGGGAAAGAAGATCGCGGAATCGTGTTTGCGAAAGAGTTGTGAAAATCCGACCTACCGGTAGGCCTACTGGCGCGCGCTGGGAGAGACACGACAAACGCAGACACGTTTCAGGCCTAGGCGGGGCTGGAACAACGGGATCATGTGACCGCCGAATTATCTACGGAATTAATTTCAAAAGGGACGCCAAGCCGAGCTACAGTCCCTCACCACTGGGGCACTACACCCATCCACCACACAATCTCACTTCACTTCAAGACATCCACGTGATCCCTACCTGTACACAAGCCATGAATTATGTCGTCATCCCGTTAAAGAACAAACACCTTTCGAGCTCGGCAAAAGTCAACCTTCAGCCGGGAGCAAAGAAAAGGGACAGAAAAGGGAAATCTGCACGTGGGAACTTTGAAGATGGCTTTCGTCATCAAGTCGATTTCTAAGACAGACAAGATTTTCGCAGTCGTCAGTCCTCAGTTCCCAGACTGGGACGAAATCAGAACGTGATGTCTTATTATAACTTAACGACAAAACTGCAATAAAGCATTGACAGTGTTATAGAGAGCATTACAAGGCCTATGATCAGACAGTGGGGATTTTCACACAAACCTTGCCGATTCTCAAATAGTCGCTTTATGAGCACTTCACGCGAGTTTCCTGGATGGTGGTGTTGTGAGTCCTGGGGTGTCGTGCTGGTCGTGTCGACTAACAAGTCCCAATCTGATCAAAACTCGCCAAATATTCATCCAACGTCCAGATCTCTTGAAGATTCCGCGAGAGGACGTCTTCCAAGGAAAAGCCGCGTCCGAGAAAGCGGGATTTGGTCGGGAGGAACTCGGGAAAAACAACGTTTTTAACGCCGACTCCTCAGCCAAACACCAAACAACCCTTCCTAACCGGTCACGTCGCCATCTCCCGCACTGGAACTGTGGGTAGCCAACTCCCGCAACAAACACGTG